ATGTAATCTATTCGACGACCCTTCTACCTTATGCAAGTTAATCGACCATATGCTATTGTAAATAACAAACCTATGTAAAGAATGATTAAGAATGAAATAAGATTACTTCACTTTTGGGTCAACATTAAAACTATTATTCTTTAAAATATCTATTTTCCTGATACGCGAATCGATAGCGAGTGGGGTTTTGCCAGTACAATTGAAAATGAGCATAATAACGTTAATAACTAATGAAAGCCTATACTTCCGTATGCTGTATGAAAACACCCATAACGATGAAGGCAGGATGACGTTGGTGTCGTAGCCTCCTTTCTTGCAGGCGCCTTCGCCTAGAGGATTTTGAAGGAGGATTGTTAGTGAACCTGTGAGCTGAAAATAAAGTGACAATCGATATACGTGGTTTCCGGTATTGCAGAGAGCAATGCCGACTAGTCCACGGAGAACAGGGATCTCTTATTCAGCTTAAAATGTCAACAAGGAGAACATGAGGATATATATATACACGAAACCCTAATCCATGCCTCATCAAGTCTACGTATGCATGGATATGGGCTAGGTACGTGAGCTACGTATGTACATAAATGAGCCGAGGCCCTATACAGTTTAACAGCCCCCCCCAAATTGATGTCGGTCACGAAGCATCAATTTGCTCGAAAGGTACCAATGACGACTAGTGGGGAGAGACTTAGTGAGGATCTGCTCCTCTGATGCCATGTAGTGCACGCTTAAGACTCCATCGCGAACTAAATCCCAAACATAATAAATATGAAGTTCAATATGTTTAGTTCGCTCATGCATGACTGGATTAACCGCAATCTGAATAGCACTTGTGTTGTCCACGAACAGATCCATAGAGGAGGAGCACGAGACACCAAAGTTGGACAGTAACCGTTGAAGCCAGATCACCTCTGAAGATACCTCGGACATAGCCCTGTACTCAGCCTCAGTGGAGGACTTAGAAACCTGATCCTGCTTCTTACATCGCCAGGAGATAAACGAAGAACCAAACCGGACACACCACCCAGAGGTCGAGCGACGAGTGTCAAGGCACCCAGCGAAGTCCGAGTCAGAGAAAGCCTGAAGATTTAGCGATAGCGGTCCCTGAGAAGGGAAGAACAACCCAACGTCTAAGGTTTCCTTGAGATAACGAAGTATCCGATGAACGGCAGCCAAATGATCCTGACATGGAGCAGCCATAAATTGAATAACGATCTGAACGGCGTAGGAAATATCCGGGCGGGTAGCAGCCAAGTAGATTAAGCTATCCACAATGTTCCTATAAGCTGACCTGTCGACCAGAGGAGAGCCAGATTCACGATGAAGCTTGAGATTCAACTCCATGGGCATGCGAACTGGGAGACAGGACTCAAAATTATGATCGGAGAGAAGATCCTTGATATACTTAGTCTGATGGAGAAGAATGCCCTGGGAAGAGCGAGTAATCTCCAAGCCCAAAAAATATTGCAGATGCCCCAAATCCTTCAAGTTAAACGCTGCCTGCATACCCTGCTTCAAAGACTCAATACATGCGGCATCATCACCAGTAACCACCATGTCGTCCACATAGAGCAAAAGAACGACGATGCCTGTAGACAAAGTCTTCGTGAAAAGGGACGAGTCATTAAGACTTTGACGAAGACCCAATGCCAGAATAGTAGCATGAAATTTCCCAAACCAGGCACGGGGTGCCTGTTTGAGTCCATATAGAGAACAATGAAGGAGACAAACCTGACCCGACAAAGCATACTTATACCCAGGAGGAGGTTCCATATAGACAAACTCCTTTAATTCCCTGTGAAGAAAGGCATTCTTCACATCGAACTGATATAGAGGCCAATCACGAGCAGCAACAACAGCTAACAACGTCCGAACTGTAGGCATCTTAGCTACCGGTGCAAAGGTCTCGTTGTAATCCACACCATGTTCTTGAGTAAAGCCCTGAGCCACCACCCGGGCTTTATGCCGTTTAATCGAGCCATCCGGAAGAACTTTGATATTATAAACCCACTTACTGCCGACAATAGGGACTGGTGGAGGCGGGCGGTCAACAATAGTCCACGTACCATTTTCATGTAGAGCATCAATTTCCACGTCCATGGCATTATCCCAAACGAGATTACCATGTGCTTGCTTGTAACGTGTAGGAACCAGCACAGAATCTACGCCATAAGCATGATAATCTTGAAAACGGAGTGGTGGCTGGCCCAACGTCGAGCGCGAAGAACGACGAGGAGCTGGTGGAGTGGCTGGGGACGCGGTGAGCTGACTGGAAGCTGCTGAAGTGGGGTCGGATGACTCGGAGGATGCTGATGGCGACTCGGCATGAGGAGATGAAGAGGAACTAGAAGCTGCTGGCGTCGTAGAAGGAGTGGTTGGGGGAGACAATTCAAGCGAGTTGGGAGGATCAAGATGTGGAGGATTACCCGCAGAGTCACCATCATTTTCGTCGAACATGGGCAGGTCGGACTCGAAGGACAAAAAGGACAAGGATGGGCTACTGGACTTAGAAAAGAAGGGAAACTTTTCAAAGAAGGCAACATTAAAGGTTATCCTAATACGTTTTAAGACCGGATCATAGTAGAGGTACCCCTTATGAACATCACTGTAGCCCAGAAAGGCACAACGAACAGTTTTAGACGGCAATTTTGACGTTCTTTTTTCGACAAAAGGACAAAACAGGTACACCCAAAGACCCTAAGACGAGAATAATCAGGATGGAAACAATATAAAGCAAAAAACGGACTCTTTTGACTTAGGACAGGGGTGATCTGATAATTTATGAGACGAACAGCTGTGGCAACAGCCTCGGGCCAGAAGGACACCGGAACATGCGAGGCCAACAAGAGAGCTCTCGTAAGATCAAGAACGTGTCTATTTTTTCTCTCAACTAGACCGTTCTGCTGGGATACCTCGGGACATGATTTTTGACTCAAAATGCCGAGTGAGCGATAAAGATCACGCAAAGGATGGGAGTTGAATTCTCCGCCTGGGTCAGACCGAACAATCTTGACAGGGCGCTCAAACTGAGTTAGGATCATATTCAGGAATTCCGAAGCAATAGCAAGCAAGTCAGATTTCAGGCGAAGAAAATAAACCCAATTAAAACGGGTTGCGTGATCAACAAACAAGGCAAAATAGCGAAAACCATGACGTGATACGATCTGGGACGGCCCCCACAAGTCAGTGTGTAGAAGATGAAATGGTTCAGAAATCACAGTCGTGCTTGAGGGAAAAGGAATACTAGTGATCTTGGCCTCAATACAACTCGTGCATAAATGTGAAGCAACACCATCAATCTTATCTTTCCCAAGGAGATCTTGTTTAAACATAGCCAAAAGACGAGTAGAGTTGGGATGACCCAAACGAGCATGCCATAAATTCCATACATTATCAGACCGACTTGACAAAGAAGAAGACACTAGAAAAGAAACCGAACTACTAGACACCGACGAGACTACTGGACTGGAAGGACTACTGACAAGAGGTGAACTAACTGATGGCGATGGTGGTGACCTTGTACTCGAGAGATCCTCGAGATGAAAGACCCTCCCCTTCTTACTCCCTCGCCCGATCTGCCTCCTCGTCTTCGTGTCCTGAATAAGACAACCAAAAGGACCAAACAAAACGGATAAACCTTGCTCGATAAGTTGGCCCACAGAAACCAAATTAGGAACCAACGAAGGAACATGTAACGTATTTGGTAGCTGCATATGAGAGTTATGAACCATTCCCACACCATTTACTTTTAACTTCTGACTATTTGCAACTTGTAAGGCCATATCAGGTACGGGAACCAAATTTTGTATGTGATAAGCATCTTGAATCATATGATTGAAGCAAGCAGAGTCGAGCAACCAAGGTTTAGACATAAGGCAGCAAATGCACTGCTGATAGCGCCCGACAATGATCGCTGAAGAGCAGCACTCACGGGCTGTTCAACGACAGCAGCATTGATCGCCGATGGAGAAGCCTCCACGGCCACTGGAGTTGCATAAACTGGACGATCACCCATGGATCAATCCGTCGAAGGAAACCGCGGATCATTAGCGCGCGCTGCTGCACGCTGGGCAGATTTACAGTCGAGCACAATATGGCCACGACTCTTGCAGTATACACAAATTTTTCTTACCACAATGCTTTTGATAATGCCCTTTTTCATGGCAGTGATAGCACTCCACATCAGCAGCCGCAACTCGTCGTTGGAATTGTGGTTTTTGGACAGCAAACGCAGCCACCGAATGCTGATCAGAGGTGGACGACGCGGCAATCACCGTTTCACCCTCGCCAGGGCGAACATCAAGCTGGGACTGGGTGCGGAGATGGATCTCCTCGCGAACCAGCAGGCCAAGAATCCCTTCAAGCTTCAAGTCGTCCCTATTCAGCAATGTGGAACGCACCGATTCGAACTCCAGGCGGAGTTTCATTAAGAACTGACAGAGACGAGCGTGTTGTCGTTCCTCCATAATCTCGGCAGAAGCCTCCTTGGACCGCAGCGAAGCCGTCAACATGTCTTGCTCGATCCATAGCTCCTGTGCCTCACTAAAATATGCTGCGACGTCCTTGTTTCCCTGCTCCAGCCGCCCCAATTCTATTTGAAGTTCAAATTGGCGAGCAGTGTTGACGGTGGAGTACGTGGCCGCGAGGTGAGTCCACATGCCATGCGACGTCGAGTGCAGCCGAAGCCCTAGGGCAATCGTGGGATCCACGCAGAGCCGTGACCTTCAACGAAGACCCGGAATTGGAATTCCCACAAAGCATAATTCTTGTGGGTCAATCGAACGGAGAGCCTCTGTGAATCCATAGCCGTAAGCTCTGATACCATGTTAGTGAACCTGTGAGCTGAAAATAAAGTGACAATCGATATACGTGATTTCTGGTATTGCAGAGAGCAATGGCGACTAGTCCACGGAGAACAGGGATCTCTTATCAGCTTAAAATGTCAACAAGGAGTACAGGAGGATATATATATACACGAAACCGGAATCTATGCCTCATCAAGTCTACATATGCATGGATATGGGCTAGGTACGTGAGCTACGTATGTACATAAATGGGCTGAGGCCCTATACAGTTTAACAAGGATTTCGGGAGAACGTCTCCTCAAATTGGGACTCGCGATGATGCAACGACGGAAGGGTTTTACGGTTTTTTTGGGGACGTCGTTCGTAGTTGTGATTATATAGTCATGTTGAAACTAGGCGAGAGAAGATATGTCGCAGAGAAGAAGGTTTCCATTGACAACTCCACTAGCAGCAGTAGGTTCATGACAATGATGAAAATAGTCAGAGATGACAAGCTCTCTAATCATCATCTCCCCTCCGCTACGTCGTCGTATTTGAGCCTCCACAGTCATAATCACCATTCTCATCTGCTTCAGTTTAATCAGAATTTGACTCACAATCTTCACCGCCAAAACAAAGTCCCCTTTTCCACTGCGATCCTCGCCGGAGTACAGGTCGCCTCCCCTAGAAGTGATTTTAGACTCCAAAGAAGCCATTCACGTAACGAAAGAGAGAACAACTGATGTTGTAATTTAGTGGGTATAATCCTCCTCCTAAATTGTTGCGCTACATCACAGTCCCGGACTACATGCAGCACAAATTCTACAGCCAGCAAGACTCCCCTTCTTCTGCCTCCTTCTCCACCCGTTCCTGCTCTTCAGACGATGGACCGCTGAGTCTACTTCACTCCTCCTCCGCTGGACATTATCTCGATGATCTCTCCCTGGATTAGCATGATGAGGTTATTTTCGGTTGGGCTTTTGATATTTTTGGGTTGTGTGTCTTTTCCTTTTCGTTGTAGGTTTCCTTTGAGTTTGGGTTGGGGTAGCCGAGTAGGAGAAGAATTTCGCGTAGGGTTAGGTCATGTATTAGGCTTTATCGACACCAACGTCATTCTCTCTTTTGTGAGTTACAAGCAAAACCCTTGAACTGTGGGTAACAGTTCATCAATTGGTATTAGAGTCTGGTTACGCATCCGATTAGGATGAGTACAGGCACGACGACGGAACGATGCTCTGTGCTAGAAGCGGCGGTAGAGGAGCTGCAAGGGGCAATGCAGGTATACTCGACCGACCTCGATGACTTGTCGGCACGGATGGCGAACGTGGAGGAGGTATTGAAGGTGCCGGTGGCTAAGGTCGATGTGTTGACACCGCAAATGGAGGGAAAATGCATGATTATCGCATCGTGCAGTGGGGAAGAAAGCTCAAAGGAGAGGGAAGGGGAGAAAAGTACGACCGGGAAGAAGACCAGCGAGAGGAGCTCGATAGGCCAAATTTCTACGGTAGTACCCGCCGCCACGAGTGGGTGGTACGTGGGAGCTGCAAGGCCTTCTAGTGATGGGGGCGGCCGAAGCATCGGCGGGGGAATCTTCCTCACGAAACTCGCCAGGTTGGAATTTTTGAAGTTTGCCGGGGAGGATCCAGGGTCATGGTTTCATCTGGAAGGGGAGGCAAACCAGTGGTGGCAATTGTTGAAGCGGGCCTATAAAGACACGGGTGAGCCAATTTCTTGGGGACCGTTCTCGCAGGAGCTCTGGGAGAGGTTTGGTCCGACAGAGGGTGAGAGGTGCGACGAAGCCCTATCACGGATTCGTCAAACTAGGTCCCTGTGCGATTATCAGAAGGCGTTCGAAAAGCTGGCTAATCGCTGCGTCGGCTGGACACAACAAGCATTGGTGGGCACATACTTGCGAGGCTTGAAGTCGGAGATCGCCAACGAGATCAAGATGTTCACACCGCAGCCATTGCGTGACGCCATCAGCTTGGCAAGGATGAAAAATGATCAAGTCCAGCGTCATAAGCCGACTGGTACGTCGGCGCCACCTGCTGGCGGCGGAGGAGGAGGAGCGACGTGGACTGGGGGACGAGCCTACGCTCCGAGAACTGCAAGCTCGGGCTTTTCAAGCAGGAGGTGGACCACTGCGTGCACCGGCAAGAGGGAAGTGGTTGAGCTGGGAGGCGCAGCAGCTGCCGAGGGCTCAAGGTCTATGCTTCAATTGCGATGAGCAATTTACCATCGTGCACAAGTGCAATAATGCAAGGGTGATGTGCATGTTCGAGGAAGAGGACTGTGAGGGTCAACCTTGGAGACAAGGTTGATTTCAAAGGGGAGAGGATTAATTAGGTTATTTTCGGTTGTGCTTTTGGTATTTTTGGGTTGAGTGTCTTTTCCTTTTAGTTGTAGGTTTCCTTTGAGTTTGGGTTGGAGTAGCCGAGTAGGAGAAGGATTTTTGGGTAGGGTTAGGCCACATATATATATATATATATATATAATAAGTTCGTCCTTACTGGTATCAGAGCCTGGGGGGAAGGGTTAGTCTAAATCTTCTTGCTTATTATTAGTTGAGAGATGGGTACCCCATGGTTAGATCCTAGCTGAGTCCTTTGTGAGAGAGTTGTAAGACCGTCTTTGGCCGTTAACCTATCTCACCTGTAAGTTAGATCCAACCTTTGTTTACCTTATTTTATCTAGTCATGAGTTCGATTTTTAGACCTTCCTCTTCTTCCTCTAATTCTGACATCACCGGGAACCGTGTGATCAACCAAGAAGAAATTAATTTTGAAACTGTTAGTAAAGAAATTGATAATTGGCAAATTCCTAGGATTTCCCAAAAGGAAATTTATGAGCAAAGCAAATTTAACTTCCTCAATAAAATGGATTATATCATCAAAACCGAAGAAAGAGATATTCATCTTTTCAATGATTATGAAACTATCAAACTTTTGTCTCAAAATTCTATTCAACAACACAAAAAGAAGTACAACTATATTCATATTGGGTTAGTTCAATTAGGGAATAAGCCTCTATCCAAAGAAGGCGTTAATACTGCTATTTTAATGGTTCTACGAGATTGTCGGTTTCTTGAGTTTAACGACTCTTTACTTGGAACTGTTGAATCAAGTCTTTGTAATGGCCCAATTTACTTCAAATGTTTTCCAAACTTTACTGTCTCTCTTCATGACAAAAATATTTTAGATGTTTTAACCCTACAAATAAAAACTTTCAACTATAAAATCCAACAAGGATCTTTACCTATCTCTTTGGTTTACCGCTTACACTATAAAGCTATGAAATCTGCTTTCTCTTCTAAAGCTCTTCAATATGGTACAAAAGGAGAAACTATACTTTGGCAAATTGATTTAACTCGTACTAACACTGTTACTCCCAAAACTATCAAATGGGGAGAAGTTACTCTTCCTACAGAATGGACCCTTGAAGGAGCTACCATTCCCAGAAGCATCGACCATCGTCAGGTTAATCAAATTACTCAACATCTTGATGGTACTGTTAACATCTCTTTTGCTATGAATTCCATCTCTAGCATTTCTGATATAGACCCTGAATTGACAGACGATGTTCGACAGCGCATCAATACTTTTCTTAGAAGCCAATCTTATAGAAATCTTTCTCCCATACCAACACCCACTCGACATACCTCCTCTACACTCAACTATGATCTACGAGGAATCAACAACTCCAACAACATACCTCAGCCAGTTTATACTCCACCACCTCCCACAACTCTTTTTCCCAATATAAATACCTCGAGAACACCAAATATTTCTCCTACTGCCTCACAAGCTGCATTTCCTGAAGAAGAAATCCCTTCTGCACTTGATGTCATTACACAAGAGTTCAAAATCAACAAAGAATTTCTTCGCCATGATTTCTATTCCCAACGAAACCGTTTTAAACGCGAGCAATTTTTTACTGATTACTCTAAAGAAGAACGTGTACTTATACAAAACTCTTTCCATGATTATCTCAATAATATACGAGAACACCATTCTTTCTTTAATTGGTTCGAACAAGTCTTTTCTCAATCTTCGATAAATGTTCAAACCAAGCCTATGACTTGGTCAACTACTAATAACTCTAAGATCCAATCTATTCACCCCCCTAATGCTCCTGTTAATTTTTCTTATTATGGAACAGCAGTTCAAGCTTCTCCTTTTAAATTAAGACGAGAAAATAGTGACCATGTCAAAGGAGAAGATATTCGACGTCTGATTGAAAAAAACAATTATACAAACCGATTTCTTCAGACCTTAGGAGATCAACTTACTAATGTTGAAATCAGTTTACCTCTGTCTTTTGCGTCTACTTCTAATACTCCTATCCTCCTTCCAACAAACTTAATTCCCCCATTTTTCAAACCTTTTGAAGTTTCTAAAGAATCTAGTCTTGAATTTAAGCTTGAAATAGAAAAACGTCTTAAACAACTTTCTACACAACTATCCGTTTCTAAGACTCCTTATATTTCTGACTCAAAATCCACGAGCAACGAGGATTAAATCGTCGATGACTCAGCCGAAGTAATTCAAGACCTAGAAGATCATATTGAAACAGAAATCAATCGTCTCCGATGGAACCAACCCTCTGCATCTAAGATGTATTACCCACGTCCCACGGCACCTGATTTAGCTCTCGAAGAGAAACCCACCATTATCCAAAATAAATACAACTCCAATTCTATTTACAAATGGAATCTTGATGGATTTTCAGAATATCAAATTTTGAACCTTCTTCAACAAATGACCATGGTAGCTAATGCTTACAAAACACAAAATCAAACTTCTGATTACGCTATAGCTGAACTACTTATAGCCGGCTTTGCTGGTCAATTAAAGGGTTGGTGGGATAATATCTTAACCGCAGAAGACCAGAGAACTATTTTTACAGCTGTCAAATGTGATTCTTCTGGAACTCCTATTTTAGATTCCAATAATCAATCTTCTCAAGATGTAGTCGCATCTCTGATTTTTGCCATTTCAAAACATTTTATTGGAGATCCTTCACATCTTAAAGATAAAAATGCCGAACTACTTTCTAATCTTCGTTGTAAAAAGTTTCATGACTTCCGATGGTACAAAGACACCTTTTTAACTAGGGTTATGCAAAGAGAAGATGGAAATCAACCATTTTGGAAAGAAAAGTTTTTAGCCGGTTTACCCGTCTCTTAAGAGATAAAATCCGAAACAAAATCCAAGACACTTTTAATGGTCAAATTCCTTATGAGCAACTTACTTATGGAGAACTTATTAGCTTTATACAAAAGGAAGGATTACAAATTTGCCATGATTTAAAACTTCAAAAATAGATCAAACGCGAACAAAAACTAACTCGAAAAGAACTAGGATCTTTTTGTGCTCAGTTTGATGAATCTTACTCAAAAATTTCTTCCAAATCTAACTGTGAGGATTGTAGCACCAAACCTTATAAAAAACATCGTGATCGTACCTACCGATCTTTTAAAACCACGAATCAAAAATCTCATTTCTCTAGGAATCCCCGCCCAGATAAGGGACCACGATCTTACAATGAAAATAAAAACATTACTTGTTTCCATTGTGGAAAAACAGGTCATATTTCCAAATATTGTCGTATAAAAAAGAAGCTCAATGAGCTTAATCTTGATGAAGAGATTCTGACAAAATCAATAATCTTTTTCTCCAACACTACTCTTCTCATGAGGATTCTTCTTCTTCTTCTTCTTCTTCTTCTTCTTCTTCTTCTTCTTCTTCTTCTTCTTCTTCTTCTTCTTCTTCTTCTTCTTCTTCTTCTTCTTCTAATGATGATGAGAATCTTCAGGCTTTACAATTTGATGACATCGATGAAAGTTCTGAATCTTCTATCAATGTTTTAACCAAAGATCAAGAGCTTATTTTAGATCTAATCAATAATATTGATAATCCTCATCTCAAAGAAAAATATTTCAAAAAGCTTCATGAGCACATGGAGAAACCTCCTGTGACTATTCCACCTACCAATCCCTTTCATCAAGGCTCGACGTAAAGTGTCAAGGATATCCTTTCTCGACATAGTAATAATGATTCCCACAATCCTTCTCTTCCAGACTTCCAAAAGGAATTGGATATTGTTAAGAAAGAAATTCAACAATTACGACAGCTACAAAATAGTGATCATGAAATATTACAAACTTTAATAGCTCTCAAACCTTTAGAAGAGCCATCAACATCTAGCCCCGAAATTTTTTTCGATGAAACTCCTCACGCAACCAATAGTTTAGAAACAGAGGAAATGCTAACTGATGACGATTTTCTATGTTTTTTATCTACCATTACTACCCAAAAATGGTATGTTATCATTAATATTCAGGTTTCTTCTGATTTTACTTTAAGCACAGTGGCCCTTCTTGATACAAGAGCAGACATGAACTGCATCCAAGAAGGATTAATTCCAACTAAGTACTATGAAAAGACCCTCGAGCGTCTATCTACTGCTAACTCTCAACCTCTTCAAATACAATATAAACTTTCTAATGATTTAATTTGTCATCAAAATGTTGAATTCAAAACTCCTTTTGTCCTAGTACGTGTTATGCAACAAAAGGTGATCTTAGGGACACATTTTCTAAATCTTCTAAAACCTTTTACCGTCACCGACCAAGGAATTAACACCGTTGTGTTAGGAAACAATGTTGAATTCTCATTTCTCCAAAAACCAAAAGTTCGAAACCTAAATGTTTTACGACGTTCTTCTATAAAATATATACACCATATAATTCGTTGTAAAACTAATCAAATATCTTATTTGCATGATGAGATACATTTTCAGCGAATCTTACAACAGCTTTCTCAACCTCTTTTGCAAAAACGAATAAACTCTTTAAAAGAGCACATTGAAAGCTCTATTTGTGCTGATACACCCAATGCTTTTTGGCATAAAAAACAACACCAGGTAGATCTTCCTTACGAAAAAGATTTCACAGAAAATCTCATTCCCACCAAGGCTAGGCCTATCCAAATGAATTCAGACCTTGAAAAACATTGTCGACAAGAAATTAAAGAATTGCTCAAAAAGGGCCTTATCAGATCTAGCAAATCCCCTTGGAGTTGTTCTGCTTTCTATGTCATTAATAATGCAGAAAAGGAACGCAGCGTTCCTCGTCTTGTTATAAACTACAAACCGTTGAATAAGGCTCTGAAGTGGATTAGGTATCCTATCCCGAAACAAAAGGATCTACTCCAGAAACTTTCACAGTCCCTAATATTTTCTAAATTTGACATGAAATCCGGATTTTGGCAA